AGTCGCTGGAGAAGGATGTCATGCTGGGTAAGGTGGAGGGTCAGAGAAAAAGAGGAAGACCCCCAACGAGATGGATCAGCCAGGTGACATCATTGATGGCATCAAGTGTGGCGGCGGTAGTGAGACTGGCCCAGGATCGGACACTGTTTCGTTCTGCTGTGCATGGGGTCGCTATGAGTTGGTTCCGACTCGATGGCACTTCACAACAACAACAAAGGTGGGTTTGACCTGCCAACCTTGTGGTTCAAAGTCCATTGCTGACCCTACAGCACCACACCAAGAGCCCTACAACTCCACAGCCATGTATTAATTGTGTCGTTTGTCAGAAACACACCGCCAAATTTTCAGTTCTAAGATCAATATTGTATAACAGAATTTAGCTTCAGAGAGCACTATAGGTCTATTTTCCATTGAAATTACTAGACTTTTAACACAATAATTTAGGCTCAATCATTACTGACAGACATTACCTCAGAAAAATGGCAAATTAAAGTTTAGGAGACTATGGCTAGAAAGTTTTTAGTGAAATAAGCACCAAAATGAATTTCATAGCTTGGTCCAAACCTACTTCCCACCCTTGGAACCAGAGTCACAGGCATAGATGTTTCTTCAATGTTAGCAATACAACGATTAAAAAGTAGCACAACAGGAGAAAATACATACATTTTTAAAACTATTAATTAACAGAACATGCTATAGATGTCAATTTAATCATAAATTTAACCTTTAAAATCCTTTATGTTATTATATGCAAAATCCTTTATAGAAAGGTTTAAAATTTGAAGAGACATGAAAAGTACAAGCTATATTCTTTGACTTCTTAAACTTATTCAAGTAGTTTAATGTAATCATTATTATACAAGTCTCATTTTGTATCAAAATGAAAAATATTCAGCTTTTCAAGTAAAACACAGAAACTTAGTCCAAAATATAAACTATATTGTTTATATTTTACTAGCACCATTTGTATACTCACACGCATATTCAGGCCCTGCTGCTAATCATGACAATTATGTTCAAGTTCTATAAACTGCCATTTTAAATAATTCTGCTTTATTCAGAATTTGATAAAATTCAATTAATTTGTCTATATTCTTGTTCAGTAAATTACACTTAAATATTTAAAAGTAACTTTTAAATCAGTGCTTAAGCTAGATCCAGTTGAAGAACTGGTCTCTTAAATGATATTCTTTTAGTATAAAGTGGATTTCTATACGTTCCCGTAATTTGGGAAAGATGTATCTATCCGTAGGTATCTAATTATAATTACCTTACCCAAAAATCTTATCATAGACATGCATTTATTATCTCCAAAGTCAATAAATGCAGATACCTTAACGTAATAGGGTTCCTTCTGACAAATTGCATTGGTATCCTGTAACGTCAATTCATAGTTCTTCATGTTTAAATGTAACTCCGCTCGAAAAACCAGTAATGCAATATCACTAGGAACTAAAAGACAAGAGAAATGGAAATAAAATGCGTTTAGAAACAAATGGTTTTTAATTCATTAAAAAATACTACTAAAGTTAAAATAAATAATTCCACCTTCCAATAACATTTGAGCCCTGGTGTGGCACTTAACGTAAGCACCAGACTGTTAACCTAAAGGTCAGCAGTTCAAGCCAACCAGCCACTCCTTTGAAAACTTATACAGGGTCACTCTGAGTTGGAATCAACTTAATGGCACACAGTAATAACAACCATATTTAGAGTTTGTAGTTAGGGTCACTGTGAGTCAGAATTAACTCTGTGGCAGTGAGTTTGAGCTTTTTTGTTAGTTTGATAAACACACATTTTACAGACCTCTCTAGAGAAAACAGAAAAAAGGTCAGCAAGAATTCAAACTACACCAAGAAAAATAGCGCTTAATATTCCATCAAACACTCCAGTTAGAACTTAATAATTCTTTCAGCAATTACTAATCTTCTTAATATGATTTACAAAAAAAAAAAGAGGCTGCCATGGATCCCGACTCCTGGTGACCCTGTGTGCCCCAGAGCAGAACAGCACTCCATAAGGTTTTCAATAGCTTTGCATTTCCCTCAAGTAGACTGGCCAGGCTTTCTTCCCAGGTGTTCTAGGGGAACTCAACCCACCATGGTTTCCCTCGGTAGAAGAGCACTTAACCGCCTGATCCACCTGCAGACTCCCTAAATGCTATTACGAGTTATTAAAGGAGCCTTGCTGGAGCAACAATTTAATTAAGCGTTTGGCTGCTAACTCAAAAGTCAGCAGTTACAACCTATCAAATAGTTCCATTAGGTAAAAAAGTTAGCAATCTGTTCCCATCAAGGTTACAACCTAGAAAACCCTGTGGGGATCAGTTCTACTCTGTCACCTGGGGTCACTATGAATCAGAATCAACTCAACATCTAACAACATGCCATTGAGTTGGTTCCTACTCATGGCAATCCTGTATAGGGTTTCCTAGGAGTGGCAAGTTGAGTTTGAAATACATATCTTGTAGTTGTTACCAGTCCAGTGCTTTCTCCTACAGCACCACACCAGGACTCCAACAACACTGGTGGTGGCTGTGTGTTTATCAAATGGGTTCCAACTCATAGTGACCCCGTAAAGGGTTTCCGAGGTGAATTCAAACTGCTGAACTTGCTGTTAGCAGCTCCATATGTAACCCAGTTCTCTGTGGGTTGAACATTTGGACCACAAGGTTGGTTTGAAAAAGGACAGAATTTCAACCTCATCAACCGCTCCTTGGAAACCCTATGCTGGGTTGCTGTGAGTCAGAACCGACTCACCAGCACTTAACAATATGGTGGTCACTAGCCACATGCAGAGACTGAGCAACAGAAGAATTAAGTTAATTTTACTTAATTTTAATGAATGGTAATTTAAGTTTAAAATCTAATACTACATTCAGTTGGCAAAAAAAAAAAAAGGTAATTTGGAACATCTTCAATATGTGAGTCTACTTTTTGTATTATCTTCTAAATTCTGAAATAAGTTAAATATTCCTAAAGAAAATTTAGTGTGTTCAAATTGGGATATGATTTAAATGTAAAATACAAAATGGACTTCAAAATCTCAATGCAAAAAGAATATAAAATCTCAAATCATTTTTTGTATTAAAGATATGCTTAAGTATAGGGTTTAAAATACCATTAAAATCAATTCAATTTACTGCTTTTCACTTCTATCATGTGTTAACCATGTTAAGATACTATTGTTAACCATGTTAAGATACTGCTGTTATATGCCATCAAATGATCCCAATTCTTGGTGATGCTAAATAGGGTTTTCAAAGGAGCAGTTGGTAAGTCCGAACTGCCAAATTTGTGATTCAAACCGACCTTAAAGTCCAGCGCTTTATCCCAAAGCACTACACAACAGGACTCCATGATAAGGTACTAGAAATTTTGAATTACAGATATGGCTTATGTGATATTTCTATTGGACAGTGCAGTGGGTCTGTATAAGGGGCTTTAAAAAGTTCATGAAAAAAAATCATCTTTTCACTGCATTTTTCCACAAGCTCCCTTGTATAAAATAAATTAGTTGTAAACTCAAAAATAGACATCCCTGTTAAAAGTATGAATTGTTGGTTTCGAAACGTGAGTGGAGTACTAGTTACAGAAAGCAATTGAACTGCTTGATTCTAGCAGAAAATTCCCTAATTTACAGTCATGATTTACCAGTTTCATACTTAATAATTTATTTTGATTGTAGCAACTTTTGTCACTTACAAATAGTATGTGCCTTAACACCAAGAACCCCAACCCTAAATTCAAAATACAATGCATACTGACTATAGAGTATCAGATGACTCTTTTACAAACAAAAGATTAAACCGTCTTTTGTCTAATTTAAGCCTTAACTGCTAAACAAAAGGTCTGCTATTTGAACCCACTAGCCAACTCCACAGGAAAAGATGTGGCATGCCAGTCAGTTCCCATAAGATTACAGACTTGGAAACTCTATAAGCAGGTCTACTCTGCCTAGGATCGCTAAGTCAAAATCAATTCTATGGCAAAAATATAAAGGATACAGACTATTTCAACATGGTTAGATTCCCAGGGCTTTAATGGAAAATTGTTGTTGTTGTTGTTAAGTGCCATCGAGTCGGGTCCGACCCATAGCGACCCTGTACAGGGTTTCCGAGGGTGTAAATCTTTACGGGAGTAGAAAGCCTCATCTTTCTCCCGCAGAGCAGCTGGTAGTTTCGAACCGCTGACCTTAAGGTTCGCAGCCAGCATTATGATAAAAGGGAAGATGACACATTATCACCAAATGGAGGATGAAAGTTAGTACTACATAACTGCCAAATTGCATCATTATGTATCTGCCAAACCAGTGAAAATCAAGGCCCAGACAATCTTACATGCATGGAGAACTTCCAAAAGTTCATGGCAAACTTCCATTATCTTTTCATTCCATTGTTTCACTAATTTTTTTAATGCCCCTTTTATAACTTTAACCATCACAGTCACATTACTCTCCTCTACCACACCTCAGCATTTGTTATTGGTAGACAATGTGCAAAACAGATTTTACCAGTCAGAATGTGAAATGTTGGACATGTGAAATGAGATACTAAGTGAGGAGTAGACATGCATACACTAACTGCACTTGATTACTAACTTAAAAGTCTGCAGTTTGAACCCACCCAGTGGCAGTAAGGAAGAAATCACTGCCAGGAAAACTCTAGGGAGCAGTTCTACTAGGTACCACATGGGGTAGTCATGACTAGAAATAAACTCCACTGCAATGAGTTTGGTTTTGGTTTAAAATATACATATATATGTTGCTGTTTAATACCATTCTATCAGTTACCACGCATAGCAACCCTGTTTAGTGTTTCCGAGGAGCAGCAGGTGGGTTTGGACTGCCAACCTTGAGGTTCAAATATAAATTTGAAAAAAATTAAAAAAAAAAAAAGTTGTGGACTGTGACTCAGCATTGTCATAGTACAACTATCAGTGTCTGATTTTAGACCACCAGGCCTTACTCTTGAAGGCTTCCAGGTGAACTCAAATCAACCAACCTTTGGTTGCCTGTGAGCACTTAAACCCTTTGCTGTTTTCAGAGACTAGAGACTCCTAAATCTTGTGTAGCAAGTTACTGTCCAGTCAACTCTTGATGACTCCATGAAATAATATACATACAATTCAGGCTCCTGGTGTGGTGGTGTAGGATCAGCACTGGACTGTGAACCACAAGGTTAGCAGTTCAAACCAGCCAGCTGCTCCTTGGAAACCCTATAGAGGTTGCTATGAGTTGGAATTCACTTGAAACTTTACAAAAATTACAAATCCAGTTAATTCAGAAAATTAACACACACACACACACACACACACACACGGAACACACTTACCCCTTTCCACACAAAATAAATGCCAACAGATCATATTCATTGAGAATCAAACAGAATTACAAAAAATTCGCTCTTCATTTAAATTAAAACCACCAACCATCGAGTCGACCCTGACAAATGGTTTTCAAAGGCTGACTTACTGCCAAGCCTTTCTTCCCACGTGTCTCTGGAGGGCTCACACTTCCAACCTTTAGGTTAGTAGCTGTTTGTACTACTCTGGAATTGCCCTAAAAGTCTGGAGTAGACTGGCTGAACACCTGGAATCCTTTAAATTAACAGTCTTAACTGGCCGTGGCTGGGGATGTGGGAGAGAGGCTGTTGGTTACAGACTCAGGTGTAAAATAAACAAATTTAAAACCACATACTCTGTTGTTAAGTGCCATGGCGTTGGTTCCGACTCAAAGTCCTGTAAAGGGTTTTCGAGAAAGGGCTGGTGGATTTGAACCGCTGACCCTGGAGTTCAAACAGACCTTGCATTCCAGTGCTCATCCTGGTAAAAACGCTGGAACAAAATCTAACGCCCTCTGTGGCGAAGAAAGGAAACTACAACCAGACTAAAGTAAGTAGTAGAAACATCCTTACACCTAGCTAGGTGTTAAGGCCAAGGCAATCCCGATGTCACCCACTCAAGGGCCCACCCCTCCACGCCTCGGGTTACTTCCGAGATTCTGATGGTTTCCCTCCAGTAAAGCCGCCTTTGGGTTCTCAGTACACATAAAATCTGTGTTTACACTACACAGCAGTCTGTGAAGGGCGCAATAATTTTCAGAAAGCGTCTGAAATACTGTTGATCACCAAACTGTAACACAGACGCCAAGTGAGAGCACGTGGGGTTGGAAAAATGGCGCCCACGTAACTTTCAATTCGCTGTTGTTCGACCTCACCAGCCACTACTCCTGGGAAACCCTATACGGGTCGCTAACGACTCGATGACACTAAACAAGTCCACTTCAATACGAGAAGGTTCGCCTGTCCGCCTGGTCCTGCAGGGCTTCTCTTCCCATTTACCAAGGACCCTCTTCTCGGGCCCCGCCCTGGTTGCCGGATGCGGCGGGAAGAAGGACCCAGAGCCCAATTCACACGAGGTCCCCTCTCCACCCTATGGCCGGTTCGGCGGCCCCCAGCGCCCGCCACCTACCCAGCTCTAGGGCCTGCTGGCACCGAGCCAGCGCGGCCTCGTACTGCTGCTGCCGCTGTAGGCTCCGCGCCTGGCCCGCCAGCCAGCGCACGCGGCCCTCCCCCGGGAACCACTTCTCCAGCACGTCGCCGAGCACCTCGCAGATTCGCCGAGGCCGGGGCGACGCGGGGCCCGGCCTCACGCAACGCTTGCAGACCGTGCGGCCGCACGGCAGGGTCACCGGCTTGTCGAGCAGCCGCCGGCAGACCGGGCAGGACAGTAAGTCCCGGGGCGTGGCTGACGCCGGCAACGGGGCCTGAGTGCGGTCGGGTTGCGGGCCGTCGGGCTGCAGGGCGGCCTCGCAGGCCGGGTACAGAGCCGGCAGACGCCACTCTTGCACGCGGACGACGTGCGCCAAGCCCCAGGCCAGGTGCTTCAGGTGCTGAGGCCCCAGCGCGCCCAGCTGCGCCGCCCCGCGGAACGCACCCACGGCCTCGACGATGCGGCCCGCGCGGGCCAGCGCGTTCCCCATCTGCAGGCACAGGGCTCGGTCGGGATGGGTCACCTGAGACAAGATTAAGAGGAAGATCTCCGCTGACAAGTCATATTCTCCTAAGCTGAAAGCTTTGTTGCCTTTCTCGATCCGCTCATCGACCGAGTCCCCGTAGTCGCAGCCTAGGCACTGATGCCGCGGCTGAGGGCCCGGCTCGGCTTTGCCTGGCGTGGCCATAGCCGCGGGTTTCAGGCGACGTCGACTCGGAAGAAAGCAGGCGGGGACAAGAGCACCGCTTCCCACACTGTGGCTGCGAGAGCTACCCGACCACCCTCACCGCGAGTCTCGAGCGTTTGTCTGAGGCGCGCTTTCAGGTTCTCAACGGCGGCTGGGGACGGCTATGGCTGCGTGCCCGGCGTGGGCTGCGTGCCGGGCGTCGTGGGGGAGGTGGGACCTCCCACCGGGCCGCAACACTCCCAGCCCGCGTGCTGGGGGCGGAGCCAGCCACCGCGACGCCTGCGCCTCTCTCGTCCCTCGAGGCGCTAACTGATATAACTTGGCCTCGTTCCCGTTGCCTAAGTCACACCCCCTGGTATACAATAGAGTACCCCCTTTCCCCAAGCCCGCCTGCTTCAAATCCTTTCCCTCCTCGTTAGGACGACACGGCTAGTCTACTGCGCCTATGTTCCGGCGCGTCGTCAGGGAACCACTGCTAACAGGTGGCAGCGGCGGCCAGGCGTCTGACTCGCCTACACAGCTGTACCTGCCTCTCCCTGAGGCAGCCTCGGAACCGTTACCGAGCCTATCAAGCATCCCTAGTTTTGATTTAGAGAATTAACCTCAGGGAATAAGAACCCTGAGGTGGTTGCTTTAGAGTTTAGAGTATACTTCTTCAACTCATCATAATCTGCTTTCAAGTGATACACCATTTTACATGTGACAAATTTTATTAACAATATGCTTCCGTTTCTTCTCGTCAACTTTCTCTTGATGAATTTCTAAATTTCAGACAGAGAATTTTCACAGAGAACGCCAAAAAGTACCAAACCCGAGTGCTGGGAGAAAGAATTTTGGTAAATGATAATGGACCCTGGATTGTTGGGGTTGGGGGGGGGGGGCACAGGTTACGTGCCTTCCAGTTGGTTCTCACTCAAAACGACCCTGATTGTTAGTGTTCTCAAATCTGTTCCAACTCAGAGCTACCAGGTGTAGGGTTTCCAAAGCTGAGATGGGGAAGCCTCATCTTTTCCTCACAGAGCGGTTTGATGAAGCAGAAATAAAGTCTTTTAAAATTTGTCCTACTGCAGAAGTTGCTGCCGGCAGAGAGTTGAAAGCTGGATTTGTGTACAATGATGAATATTAGTCAGTTTTTAGAAATGTCTTTTTGTTTATAGTCTGTTCTCTGTTCTATTTTAAATTCTGCATATTTGACTGCAGTACAAAGTATCAATATATTCTAGAATCCATACTGTCCAATATTTCAAATTGAAATTTCTTATTCAAAACTAAAACTGCGGACTAAAAGAAAATATGAGGTACCTAGAATATATATGGCTTTGGAATGGGGGGAGTCATTATTTGAAAATGGTCTCATTAAGGAAAGAAAAATTTAGGCCACTTGAAAAAGAGACGTCTTTGGCGATTCCTCTAGTCCGATAATAAACAAATTGAGAACAACCTCTCTTCCTTCTCCATGCAGAATATTTACCCCTGGTTGTCCATTTTGGCTGATAACAGTTATGGTAGATTTTGGTCTGTTTCTCATTACTGAATTCTTCCAAACTCCCCTTTTAATCATTCTTTAGGTTTTTATTTACTTCTTTATTCAGTAAAAATTCACTTGTGGCTTATAAAGGAAATTCATAACAAGGAAACAAGGGGTTAAAAAAGTTTGTCAACAGTTAAAATTGGTACAAAGACAATACACTAAAGATTATGAAACTTTACATCTTAGAGTTTATTCTTATTTTAGACAAATTTCTAGCAAGAAAACAGGAGACGCTTGCTGGTGGTGTAGCTACTAGGAACAAGAAGATTTGGAAGCAAAAATATTCCAGTGTATATTGTGAGGTGTACAACATATGTGGAAATAAAATACATGACAAAAATTGCACAAAGACCATGAAGGAAGAAATGGAAGCATATTGTTAATAAAATTTATGTTACTTGTAAAATGGTATATCACTTGAAAGAAGATTATGATGAGTTGAAGATGTATACTCTGAACTCTTAAAGCAACCACCTTAATAACAAAGTTGTAGTTAGGTGTCTTTTTGTTGTTAGGATTCATAGTGACCCTATGTTGGTTGGTTATGTACCATGGAGTCGGTTCAATAACCCTATGTACAATAGAGCTAAACACTGCCCAATCCTAACATTTCTCTGCTATTACTCCTAAGATTTTCACTGACCAATTCTTTTAGAAGTTCTCTCATTCTGTTTTAGGATGCTCGGCTGAAACCTGTCTACCCTGGGTGACCCTTCTGGTATTTGAAGTACTGGTTGCAAAGCTTCTAGCATCACAGCAACACCCAAGACACCACAGATGACTGGTGATCATAACAAAGGAGCCCTGGTGACCCTGTGGGGTAGACATTGAGCTGCTTGCTAATCACAACATCAAGAGTTCAAACTCACCAGCCCCTTTGCAAGAGAAAGATGACACTCTGTTCCCCTAAAGATTTACAGTCTTGAAAACCATATTAGGATTACTATGAGTGAGAATTCACACAGTGGTAGTTTGGGGGGTTTTGGTTAATTTTTTTTGGCATAGCTGAAAAGACAATGAAGGAGATAAAATGGAACTATTAAATCATCATAACAATAATGTGAAATTTAGCAAAAAATGAAGCAAGGAGGAAACCTTAAATATATGCTGCCAACCAAAGCTCACTTTAAACATGAAGCTAACAAAGTGAAAATTATGGATAAGGATGTTTTATGTAATCCTTCATACTTGTTAAATTCTAATTTTCCTGTTTTATACTTCGTACATTCCACATTCTGATTACAAATGAACATTTACAGTGTTTATTCTCATTTTGATTTGTGTCACATCAACAAATGGAATGGAATACTTGAAGATCAATATCCTAGATATTAGTGAGCTGGAATGGACTGATCTTAGCTACTTTGAAGCACACAACTAAAGGGTGTATTATGCTGGGAATGACAAATTGAAGAGGAAAGGTGTTGAATTCATCAACAAAAACGTCTATCCTGAATTACCATGGTGTCATTGATAGGAGAATATCCATAAGCCTATAAGAAAGACTAGTTTCCTAGGCAACCACTAATGCCAAAGATGAAATAAAAGATGTTTACCAACTTCTGCAGTCTGAAATTGATTAAACATGCAATTAAGAAGCATTGAGAATTACTGTTGATTGAAATGTGGAAGTTGGAAACCAAGAAAAAGAATCAGTAGTTGGAAAATATGGCCTTGGTGATAGAAATGTCACTGGAGACCACATAATAGAATTTTGCAAGACCAACAACATATTCATTAGAAATAAATGTTTTCCACAACATAATCAGTGACTACACACTTGGATCTCATCAGATAGAATGCACAGGAATCACATTGCTTACATTTGTGAAAAACTCAATATCCTCAGTCAAAACCAGGCTAAGGGCTAACTGTGGAATAAACTATTAATTGCTCATATGCAAGTTATAATGATGTTAGAGAAAATTAAAACAAGTCCACAAAACCCAAAGTAGAACTTTGAGTATATTGCACATGAATTCAGACCATATCAAAAATAGATTTGACTTCTTGAACACTAATGACTTATGACAAGACAAATTATGGGATGGCATCAAGGACAAAAATTCACTAAAAAAAACAGGGAAGAAAGAAAAGACCAAAATGGATGTAAGAGGAGACTCTGAAACATGCTTGTGAATGTAGAGTGGCTAAAGCTAAAAGAGGAAATGTTGAAGTAAAAGCTGAACAGATGATTTCAAAGGGCAGCTCAAGAAGACAAAGTATTACAGTGAAATGTGCAAGGACTTGGAGTTAGAAAACCAAAAGGGAAGAACATGCCTGTCATTTCTCAAGTTGAAATAGGTAATGAAACTGAAAGGTGAAGATAGCGCTGTCCTTCTCCCAACAACCAACAGAAAAAGTATACTGAAAATTGGTAAGGATATACAGAATCAGAAGGAGCTCTGGTAGTGTAGCATAGTGGTTGAGAGTCGGGCTGTTAATCTCATAGTCAGCAGTTCAAAAGTACCAGTGGTTCTGCTGGAGAAAGATAGGGTTGTCTGCTCCCGTAAAGATTTATAGCCTCGGAAACTCTATACAAGGTTGCTATGAGTTGGAACCAATTCCACAGCAAATAACTACCACCACCATAGAGTATAAGAAAGTTCTGGTGTGACGCTGTAAGATTTAACGCTGGACTTCTAACCACAAAGTCAGTGGTTCAAACCCATCAGCAGCTCCTCGGAAAACCTATACAGGGTTGCTATGAGTCAGAATCAACTCAACAGTACTTAACAACAACATACAATATAAGACTTGAACACGACCTCTGACCAACTGAGCCTGACATGCAAATGTGGAACACACTACCAAACAACAATAGAATACACATTCTCTTTACACATACATAGGACTTTTACCAATCTAGCGCATTAAAAAAGAAAAAAAAAAAAAGTTGTCATCTAGTCTATTCTGATTCCTGACAACCTTGTGTGTATCAGAGTAGAACTGAGCTTCATAGGATTTTCAATGAGTGAATTTTCAGAAGTAGTTCACCAGGCCTTTCTTTGGTGGCACATACTGTATGGACTTAAATATCTAACCTTTAGCTGTTGACTACATTAACCATGGGAGTGTGGTGGCTCCATACGATAAATACTGGACTATGAGACTATGAATCACAAGGTCCACTCCAAAATTAAGCCTGGCAGCCATTCTGCAGGAGAAAGATGAAACATTCTACTCCCTTGAAAATTTAAAGCCTTGGAAACCCTATACAGGGTTGCTATGGGTTGGAACTGACTGCATGGCACTTTACTTTACAACATTAACCATATGTACCTCCCAGAGACTCCAAAGGGTGAGGATTCATTAAATCCCCCAACTTGTCCTCTGAGAAAGATGAAACAGGGCCAACATTGTTGGGATGAGTTATTAGCTGACTCTCTACTCCCTGAATTCATGTCGTCTTTTCCCAGTTCAACATATTCCATAGACGAACTACTGATTACTTCCTCTCTGAAGGCCT